AGCTAAATAGATCCGTGTTGGTGGAAAAATTTCTTTGCTTACAGAGATATGGTCGGAGAAAGGTAAAGAGGAGGAAATGAGAAAAAGACAGGGCAGACAAATCTAAGATACACCAAACAAAACACCAATATATGAGAGCATTAAAGAAAAACGTCAAATGTTTGTGGATCTTTCTCTCTTCTGTTGCTGTTCCTCCCTCAATACCTCACCTTCATTTCTCTATCTAGGAAAACTCATTTCTAAAGGTTTAGAAAGTGACATTATGCTGCAACAATACTGTTACATTCCTTTATTTCCCTGGAGACAGCTGAGCGAATACCTACCTGCTTCACATTCACTTAGTTCCACTCATTCATAACCACGAGATGCCAAACACAACCTCAGCCCTTCGGACCCTGGATGGGCGGGGCCAAACATCTGGTTCTGCTCAACATGGCTGACATTCCTCTGGGAAGAGGGAGTTGGAGAGAGCAGGCAGGACGGTAGTGAACCGGGCTTTTACTCCCCAGAATCCTCTCCCGACAGAGAGAACAACAATGAGGTATTTACCATGTAAACAAAATGCCACAGCTTCCAGACTGATGCGTCCTCAGGCTGTGGGAACTGGGCTGTCTCTGTGGCCTTTATGTGAATTTACAACTCTTCCTTGATGGTCCATTACTTAGCCAGAGAGCTTCAGTGACTTCAGTGAATAAAAATGTTCTTTCCTGGTTTATTACTGTAGTTTTTCAATGTGTCACTTTTCCCCATTTTTAACATGCTTTATTCCTGCCCTTAAAATAAAACAGAAAGAGAGAACTGCTCCTTGGGGATGAATGACTTGGCTGCCTGTCCTGTCCTTAACTGCTCCAGTGGATTTCTACTTTCCAATCTACGATCCAAATCACACCTCACAAAAAGTACAGGATCAGTTTCACGCGTCTTTGTGTTCCTCATAACACAAGCTGCAGTCTGAGCGTGGCCGCTAGGGGGCACTGCAGCACAAACCAACAAGGGAAAGCTGAGCCCCTCTGTTTGGGTTAACATTAAACTCTTTTTAATTTTTAATTGATGTAAATCAGTCACTACAGTTTTCCATGGAGGCCAGGTTTAATATTATGCAGCGGGCGACTCATCTGCTGTTATGTTGCATTGTCATGTTCGTATGATGCCATCTGTCTGGCACGAGTTGAAGGGGTCTCTGGCCTTTTGTGTTCCTGTTGTGGGGGACTCTGTAGCCAAAATTAGCAGTAATTAAAAAACACACAAAAAAAAAATAGTGACAAAATTTTTCAGAATCTTTATAATGAGTCTGATATAAAAGCTACGGTTAATAGGTAATTATAGTTACAGGTTATAAATTGATTCCACTGTGCCATAAGCACTAAATGGAACAAAACAAATCTGGTTCACAGACATGTCGAGGCCTGTTTAGCTTCTGATTTCTGACCAGCTTTGTCCTGCTGCGACTTGAAAAGCTTTAGCAACTTCGCCTGTCTTTTTCGTATTTTTGTTCCATGGCTAACATAACATTAGAGTGAATGTGCACCTGACCCGGTGTGCCCTGCCCGGGCCAGTTACCTTGTGGCATTATTAGCCTAACTGCCTGCTTTTACTGTATTTATTCTAATTCTAAGACTAGTTCTACCAAAAGCAGACTTTGGACTGTTTACATATTATTCATATATTCATTTTTTTCACATGTAGTTGAGGTGCTGGGTCCGTCAGAATAAGTGCAGGTCACAGTTTGAGAGGTACCGGATCCAGATCCGGCTTGTTCCAGCACAGATTAACCTTTGAGTGCAGCGGGTTTGTGACTGCATTTAATTGGATATTAATGCATCAGCCAGTACTAGTGTTGGTTGTGTTGTTGGTTTTACAGAGTGAATTCTGGTTAACTGATGGAGACTCGTGGTTTGCTGCTACCGGACAGATAAATCCCTTACCCCACTCTGGACAGATACACATTAAAAAGCTATTCTGCCATCATATGAAAAAAAAAAAGATACACTTCCTTATATGAATGAAAATTAAAACTTTTTTCACAGCAGACATTTTGGTAATCATAACAAAATTAGTTTCACTTGTGCTTTTCCTGCTGTGACAAATCAAAACGGCTGCTTTGAAAAAGAGCTATATACCCTACGGCAAAAAGAAAATGAGTTACTAGCCTGTATGAATATTTGAAATACTATTAGAAATTACATGTTGAATGTGGTACTTCAAGCAATACCATGTTTTCAGTTCATTATAAGTTACTAAACTGTACCACATACGTTCCATGTCCAGAGTGAGATATCACAGAAATATTACAGGACTTAAAATGATAAACTACAAACTGTTTTTTTGGTTTAGAAACAGTTCCGCCCCCCCTCCTTCAGCAGCTGTGCGGGAGATTCATTTTTGCAGTTCATTGATTTGAAGTTTTATTATAATGCCTAAAAAGTTAAAACTAATTATACTGTACAGTTCAAATTATTATTTATTCGGCTTGCTGACTTTGGTTTAAGCTTTGTGGCCAATGCTACACACGCCCATTCTGCTGCACTGAGCACCTCCAAGTTAGGAAATGTGCTTGTGATATGATGACTAATCCCGGCAGCATCGAGGATATATAACCCACAAAAGTAACAGCTCATCTCTTCATCAGCTTCAGTTTGATTTTCTTAATCACACACACACACACACACACACACACACACACACACACACACACATCTATTTTTAGGGATTAATACAACCCATCACACCGTGCACCCCCATTTCTTCCTGGAGTTTAAATCGAACAAAAGTGCAATATAAAAAAATCATTTTCCAAATACACAATCCAGTCCAAAAACACAACAGCCACCCGAAGCAGCAGCAGCAGTGGTGAAAATCAGAGCGGCTCTCTCTCTGCAATAGAAAATGAAATGGCAAGCCTGGCTAAGGACATAATGAAAAAGCTATTATCAGCATGAGCTTTCATCAGCGCCGCATTCAACCATGTTCAATACAAACTGATTCTCTCATCTCATGCTGTACTCATCTGAATGCTGGGATATAATAAAGGAGGCGAGATAAGAGAGGGAGAGATCACATTATTTTTTCCCATTGAAGGAGTGCATCAGCACATTTACAGATGAGGTGAAGTTTTCATGGGCAACACAATCAACCTTTCACTGTAAGAATCTGAACTATTCAAATCATTAGTCGTCTCTGTGTGTGTGTGTGTGTGTGTGTACACGCCTTCTTTACCACCAGTGTGTGCCCACGCTTTCACCAGACTTTTCATGTTCCTGCTTAGTTGTGCTGAATTCTCAAAGTATTTGCTCCCTCCAACCGGCTCCATCCACCTGCCACCTCCAGCACTACTGTCACTGTATTCAAATACACCAGTCGTACAATAATCAAGGAAACACTGAATTCTGTATACGTTATGATACAATATTCAAACTATATCCAGCATATAATAAGTTCTAATGAGGAGGAGCTGAAGTCAGACAAGTAAAAGATTCAGAGGTGACAATATGGTGACTTGGTAGGTGAAATACTGGGTAAATATTCCTCTGACAGTTAACAATTTGGAGGCTTTAAAGTAAATTCTCACTTTTATTACAGAACAAGAACAAAGTGGGGATGGGGGGGGACTGGAGCCAATCCCAGCTGACAGTGGGCGAGAGACGGGATCCACCCTGGACAAGTCACCAGTCTGTCACAGGGCTGACATGTAGACAAACAACCACACCCACACTCAATCCTACGGGAAGTTTAGAGTCGCAAGTCAACCTAAGCTGACTTTGGACTGTGGGAGGAAGCTGGAGTACCCAGAGAGAACCACTAAGTGTTCAGAAACACTAATAAAGGCTGGTTAAGTTCACAAACACCGTCTGGCAACCTCAAACAAATATGCACAGATAAATACAAGTACACTGAATTTTTACAAGTGAACAAGTAGAGGTGTAATGATATATATATAAAAAAAACCCTCATGGTACGGTATCGCCAAGATAAAAAGTCCACGATACATTACTTATCATGATATTTAAAAACGAAGAAAAATAAGATGAAAAACACCCTAAATAGTTAAAATAGTAAATTGTTTTTTTGTAGCGTTTGCCCTTTAATTTAACCTGCTCCTTCTTTATTAAAATCAAAGTAGCTGGCCGTGACCTAAGCATGCACAAAAAAACTGACAAATTGAGTCAACAGTTTGTACAAATGCAAAACAAAACAAAATCTAAAGCAGCAGTTAGTATCAGTCCTTTCATAAAATAAAATAAAAACAGTATTGCAGCAGCTGGATCTTGTAAACAAGACAAATCACAGTGGAATATCAGTGTTTGATTTCCCCTAAGCAAGTTGTACTTTTCCTGTTTGGTGGCGAGGTTCTGGCACTGGACCAGCTGAAGCAAGTACCTCCGATCACCGGGGGCAGTAGGGAGCAAACTGCTGACCACCAGAACAAATGAGAAGAAGATGGCAAACTACAGTAGGACAGGCCACATAAAGGTGAGATTTCTGCTTTACTGGAGGTGTTTTTCCAAACATGATGGTCTACTTTTTCAAGAGGCAAGACTTTAAGGGTGGTTACTACATATCTGGTTTTGCATTTTGCATCTGGTTTGTTTGCCCATCTCTATAAAATGTAGAATACAGCTGTGTCCCCAGAACAGTCTCAGTCCTAAACATGGCTAGTGTTGTCTTTATCTGGCAGTGTCTGCAAGTTGTTGCTTCTATTCCGCCTGTGCCATTTGCTGAACCAGGAAAACTGAAGTGCTGCAACACAACAGCTCTAAAAGTCGACGATGGAGCGTCCGCTATGTCAGTTTCAAATTCTGGGAGCTGAACATAGTTATATTAACGAAACAACCATGTAACATCCTGGCAGATACCGTGACCGTCCCACAAAGTTATCGAGAAATTTTTCTATCACAATGTTGCAAAATTCCAAATATCCCTTACATCCCTATGAACAAGTAATTTAAACCACACAAAAGAGATGAAACAAGTCAAGACTTAATAAAATCCTCCTTCCTTACCTGCTCACTGTTCAGGCCTGTTGAACTCTGATGACATGAACCACCTCACCCTCCTCTCCTACACAAAACACAATTTACATTTGTTAGTCATTTGGTTAAACTGAATTTCATGTAAACATTATTCACACAAAGAAAAAAATTCATTATATATAAATGTCCTCTTAACAGGAGTACTGCAGTAATTTGCCAAAGGTTTATATCTTCAAACAAATAACTAATACTGATGCAAAACGTATATCCACACACGGCTGGTGAAAACAGCAACTGTTTGAACTTTAGAAACAACCGCTGGCTGAAATTCTCAGGAAATAATTTTTAGCTTAAATAGGAGCTTCACGGTATAAGAATCCCCCCATGGGGTGTAGTAAGAGTTTCATCAGCCTGAGCAGCCAATTACAGCGTAAACGTGTAAATGAACAAAAGTGAAGCCACGAGGTACAAGCTGTCGT